GAGTTCTTGGTCCAAGAGCACCAAGGAGAATCCTACATCAAGATGAGGGCAACCAGCCAGCCCATAATTAAACTGGTGGCAGGCTCCAGGCTCCAGGATTTCCACCAATGCATCCATGAGTTCGTGCGCTGAGCTCACAGAGCTAATGTGCAAAAGAAATGATGCTGCCAAACAATCCACACAGGCACCTGACCCAGGCCAGGCAATGTTCAGGAGTGAAGACTCACAGGAGGCAAATGCCTCAACCAGTACAAAGCATGTGCCACAAGGCACTTCAGATTAATGTCAATGGCACCCAAGTCAAAACCTTGGTCCAGGGCCAAAGGCCCAGTAAGGCTGACCTCACAGTGCTCATGGAGCCAACTCAGCTGGCAGCTGTCATACAAGTTTTGAGGCCAGGTGTTCAAGGGTGTACAGATGCACCCAAAAGAACATACAAAAGGAAAGCTGACCAATTATGATATGCTGGGTGTGAGACAAAAAGCTGATTGCAATAAATATAAGCATGCTGGCTACCTGATTCATTGATGTCAGGCCTATTGGCTACACATACCAGGCCTATTGGCTACACATGGCATTGTCACAGCATGTGTGGCCACACATGCAAACACAAAGGTACGACAGTCAGTTTATGGAAACATTACAAAAATGCGATGCAGCTTGCTTGCATGAAATGTGACATGGTTGTGTGTTTATTTGGATTGACCAGCAGCCATTGCAGCTACACACAGCAACTGTATAGGTCAGTCTCATGCCAGGCCAAAGGGCCAGAACTCAGTCATGGTATTTCTAAGGAAACCACAACACTGTGGTATGTCCAGACCGAGTCCAATGGCTGGGAAACATGGATCCTTGTATGATTGTACTTATCAATCCCAAAAGTAATTTGCACCTTACACATTTAAGTGTGGTGTGTGTGTGCGTGTGTGTGTGCATCCTAGAAAGCATTGGCCTTACCGAGGAAGCCGTTGTGGCGCCACATCATCGAGGTGAACCAATGCCAGTTGATTGCCACCCGAACCATCTGCAAGGCTATCGTGATGCAGTACACATTGTCTGGTGCCACATTGCCCACCAATGTGAGTGAGCTTGTTTCTGGCAATACAGACACAGCCGAGTCCAAAAAGTAGCTCTGTGCAGCTTGCAACAAATATAATGTTACCCGGGCCCAAATATATTCCCCCCAATTTGTTGTTTGAAAGATCATGAGCTAACTTGCCAAGCCTTTAGCCTACATCAGGAAACACCATCAGTGATGAATCATTTTCGGCATGGGCAGTGCGCTGTGAATTGTCAAGCCTGTGTGGCTACAACGTTCCAGCATGTCATGCACACAATCCTGACATACATCAGGCCATATGGCTACATCGTGTAATCAATCATGTTGATCAGCTGCAGTTGGGTTGGATCATACGAGTAATTGTCTGATGCATAATGAGTGTTGGAGTGGCTCAAATTGCAATGGGTGTCACCAATGGAACCAACACATTTCACTTGCAGTAAATCACGCTGGTCATGTGTTACACATTTCAATTCTGGTGTGATATTCAAGTAGGTTCATACAATTCAATGTGGGTTACTGTAAATACAATTCAATACCATGTGATCAACATCAATATTTCATAACATAGTATATTCAGAATCTGAACCTAGTTCATGCCTAAACAAAGTCTAGGTTCAGATTCTGAACCTAACTCATGTCTAAACACAGTCTAGATTCAGATTCTGAACCTAACATAGTATCTACCATAGAATAGATTCAGATTCTGAACCTAAAAGTGTATTTTACAGCATGTTCAGATTCTGCACCCCGATTTATTTATATAATGGATTAGGTTCATCATGTGAATATACCATTGTTTCCACATGTGTCCATATCTTGAATGTGTAGTCCAATTACATTTATTTCATGCAACTAGTGATACACCACACAACCACACACAAGTACACACGTATTGTAGTGTATACATGCAATATTAGCGTGCCATATTGTACATGATATATTATCCATCAGGAATCGCCAGCCATGAAGCGCGCCATGGAACCAACAGATCCACCTGCCAAGAAGATCAGCCAATGGCACACGCCAGACAACAATTCGAACTGTACCTGGCTATGGCAAGCCAATGGAAGACCCAACTGGATGCCATGGTAGATGATTGGTCAGGACCAGCCACCACTGGCTCATCCAGCGTGGTTCCACCGGTGAAGTCGCCAACAAGCCCAGCAGACGCTCCGCCAACTGACGCTCCAAGCCACGTGGCACAGGCCAAGCCAGGCGACAAGAAGAAGACATGTGCAGCCCCAGCATCCCTGATCAATCCAAAGGAAGAGATCGATGATGCCTCACCCACACCACCACTCACAACATCACCAATCAGTGTGAAGACCAGTGCAAAGTCAGCCAAGAGCATCACCAACTGTCAAGACAGAAGTGTCAGACGAGCCGCCAGCTGAAATGGCAGACCCAGTGCCAGCTCCAGATGCAGCAGATCCAATGCCAGCTCCAGTGCCAACACCAGCACAACCAGTGCAGCACGATCAAAAGCTCACACCACCTTGGGTCAAGCAACCGCCCGCTTGGCCAAGAGAGAGGCACATCCTTTGCAAACAGGCTAACAGCAAAATCTGCGACATGCCCTTTCCCTGTTGCGAAGCATTGTTGCAAGTGGTTCCTGCTGACTTGTCGAATGTATGTTTCTAGCTTGATGCTTCTCAACTGCGCTTGCGAGCTGCTGCCACGTGAGCCGAAGGGAGCCGAAGGGAGCCGAACGCCGGTTGCTGGATGCCAAGCAAGCCAGGTCAGCCTCAGAACTGGGTAAGAAAAAACAGGTTCAGTTGGTTTTGCCCGGGACGTTTTGCCCGGGACCTTTATTTTCCCTGTTGAGGGCTGTAAGCAGGAAAAAAAGACAGCTGCAAGCAAGGTCAGCCCCAAAACTCGCAAAGAAGACTTCAGTTGGCTTTGCCCAGGACTTTGTTGAGGGCTGTAAGCATTAAACAAACAGCCAACCGCAGAGACTGGGAGACACAGGGAGACAAGCGGGAGACACGACCCCTGAGCCGGCGTCCCAGCATCTGGCATCCGACCGCAGACCCGGAACCAGCGTCTGGGAGAAAGAGGGAGACAAGCGGGGGACACGACCTGGAGCCAGCGTCACAGCATCTGGCATCTGACCGCGGAGACTGGGAGACACAGGGAGACAAGTGCCAGACACGACCCCGCAGCCAGCGTCACAGCGTCTGGGATCTGACCGGAGAGACCTTGCAGGACACAGGGAGACAAGCGGGAGACACGACACGACCCCGCAGCCAGCGTCACAGCATCTGGCATCTGACTGCACAGACTGGGAGACAGGGAGCAAGCGGGAGGCGGGACACACAACAAGAGCATGACTGCAGAGACTGCGAGACAGAGGGAGACAAGCGGGAGACACCGCCCTGGAGCCAGCGTCTGGCATCTGACCGCAGAGACTGGGAGACACAGGCACAGGGAGACAAGCGGGAGACACGACCACGCAGCCAGCTGGCGTCCGACCGCAGACACAGGGAGACAAGCGGGAGACACAACCCCGCAGCCAGCGCCACAGCATCTGGTAACTGGGGGACAGAGAGACGAGCGGGAGACACACGACCCCGGAGCCGGCGTCACAGCATCTGGCATCTGACCGCAGAGACTGGGAGACACAGGGAGACAAGCGGGAGACACGACCCCGGAGCCGGCGCCACAGCATCTGACCGCAGAGATAGGGAGACACAGAAAGAGAAGCGGGAGACACGACCCCGGAGCCGGTGTCACAGCATCTGGCACCTGACCCCGGAATCGGCGTCACACTTTCTTATTCTCTATACCTCAAGTTAGAACCCCAACGCTTCGCGGTTTGGGGAATGAATAATGTTTGTATATTGTTTTGTATAAGAATTTATTTTGATAAATAGTGGTTGTATATTTGTGCCCGAAGACTGTATATCTAGATATGTATACATATTATTTGGAAAATATTTGTGGACGAAGAAGTATTGTGTGATTAAAGAATAGTAATTGAACAATACTACTAATAATACTAAGTTTTAGAATTATATACATATTTATGTTGTTTTTTGTAATTGCATGATTAGAATGGAATTGTTTTGTTAAAATATGTGTATAGATATATATCCATATTAATTCTATTTTTTAATAGTGAAACATATATAACTGTATGATAGTGTCATATATTCTTATACAATAGTTGGATAATGATTTGAAATTGAGAGTATTATATTTAAATCAACTTAGAAATCATGAATATAAACAAATATCGATATACATATACATATACATTTATATATATATATTGAACTTATTATGATTAAAACGAATAATTTCAAGTTTTATCTTTTATATTAATCAGATATGAGGATGATGATGATGATGATGATGATGGTGATGATGAGTCCTCCACCTCTTTTTCTTTGGGCTTTTCTTTTGCGCCCGGGGTTAAAAAAGAAGCTTCCAAGGTGAAAAAAAGAGGAACCAAGGTCAGAAAAAGAGCTTAAGGTTGAAAAAAAAGGTTCCAAGGTTGGAAAAAAGGGTTACCCAATGTGTTTTTTGCCACGGGAAAATGGCTATGCCGAACTTGCCCTGCTAATTATAGTGGGGTGGCGTTGGAGTTTAGCGTCGTTGGGTATTGGCTCCCGGGAAAATGCACCTTAGTAGTCGAGGCATATATTAATCCCATGTTAACAACGGAGCCCCTGTTCTTATCTACCCAACCTAGTAGTCCGCAGCAGCTCAGGTGTTTCTGCAAGTTGGTTTAATGCATGTCATGTGCGCGTTCTTTAGACGCACGTTTTGCAAAGGCAGGTCAGCCATCAAACGATCAGGGACTTGGGGACCAGGCCGACTTCTTTGCTTTGGAGAACCTGGGTCGAGGAGTCCGGCGCCGACTTCTGTGTGAAGCAGGCCTGGCATATATCTGAGGCATCAGCAGCAGTCGCTTTCTCGGGACTGCCCTGGGGCGATGGGGCACGAGCTTGTGATCATTCCATTCGAAAGCGACGAGCATGTCTTGGTCTCCGGATGGAACTGCGTCTTGCGAGCGGGATGGATCAAACCGGGAAGCCTTCGCTAGGCCGAGCTGGACGAGCAGACCTCGTCTCAGGTCCTCGGGCTTGAGGACTCGAAGCGGCGTGAGAGGCTTCACAGGTTCACAGACTCAGGTCGTGGGTCAAAAAGCCTTCCGACTGAAAGGCTTCCAACTGAAAGGCTTCCAACTGAGACATTGCAAATACAAGGGGCAACCCCTGTTGACCTGTGACTCGTGAGCCTTCCAGGAGGGAGGTGCGTTGCAGAAGCCGGACCGCATGCGCCCACGCGTGCTTCCTGGCAGCCTGAGTCACGGCCGTACCCCTCATTTGCACAGTTCTTTGCATGGCATGGATTGTGCGTCGCTCAGACCCGCCAAGGTTGCCACTGCACCTTCTCGAGAGGCGCAATGAGGCGACCGCCAATCCACGAAAGCAGCAGTCAACATAGTCACAATGCGACAATGTGGCCACGCGGGGCCACAACACTATCAACTCATGCGGACAGGCTAATATTGATCGACCCTCCGCCTAGGAAGTGGATTGTGGCTCCCTCGCATAAGCAATCAAGTTGCCCGTGAGCAAGGTACAGAGCGCATGCATGCGATTGCAGCCAATGTCAGGCCAACATGGCGCAACTGTTCGAGCTGGTGCGGAAGCTGCCCTCAGCGGTCCACTTCTATTTGGAGCAGTCGGTTTTCCCGCAATGAAGCCTGGCTGCATCCTGCCGTGCGGATTTTCACTGTCTATTGATGCTGCGAGACATTTGTTTGTCAGCAAGTGGCGGTGTGCATATGCCTGCTATGTGGCGTTTGCTTGAAGTGCAAAGATCAGATGCTGGGTCTTAAGACGTTGTGACGGCGCATCAGCCATCATCAGCCAAGTCATGCGCTTCCAAGATGAGAAGCTGTCTGCTGGCAGCTCAGGACGACGAACCAGTGTTTGGATGCTCCTCCAACATAAGCTTTTCATGTCGTCCTTCGCATCAAGCATGACACAGTGTGCAAGTTCCAGCCTCCTGCAACTCCTTCAAATTATTTCAGCTGCCCCCCAAAAAAACAAACACGTGCAACAAGGAGTTCAAAACACGTGGGAGACCCCCTGTTTCTAGGCTTATTCTAAATGCCCCCTAGAATTGCCCCCTTATTTCATTTTTAACCTTCTGGGCAAGGGAATGGGCTCTAAGACAACTATTGGCTGATGAGAGCTATCTTTCGCTGGACGAATGCTTTGGCGTGTGTGGCCTGCCGCTGGGCTTCCAAGTTCCATACTGGAAGTTGAGAGACTCCCGGACTGAGGCCTCTGGTCAAGACCTGGGAGGCTCCATCCTCTTCGGGCAGCGCATCGGCTTCTCCGGCACGCCCTCGGATTTGATGCCGCGGGAGCTCGGACAATGCGACTACGAGCCAGGACCGCATCAGCGGTGGGAGTTCTGAATTCTGACCGGCTTGTGGTATTTTGTTTGTGCGTGTGCGTTCTGTTGTTGCTTTCGGTTTTTGGTGTCAGTGTTGGCGGGGCACTCATGGCTGGTTGCGAAGAGAAACCGAAGAAGAGCCTCCATGTTTTGGGGTCTCCAATTTTCAAGATGTTCGTAAGGTTTTCTTTCCTCACATAATTAGGATGAATTAGGATAAGATCCGCAAGAGTGTTGATTCAACCCCTCCCGAAGGGTGGAAGCATCTGCCAGGCTTCCGCTCCCCCCAAAAATTGGAGCAAAGCCATGCAAGGCAGGGTGCAATGGCATTGCCGAGGCTGAAGGCCACACCATTTAGCGGAAGCTTGTGTGCCAAACTTGTGAGAGATGTCTAGCAGAGATGTCTACAGCATGTTGGATCATTGCTACAAAACTGCTCGCGCTGAAGATGTTTTTGGTGCAGGAAGCGAAGGCGAAATGGTCAGCACTATGACTGACACGCAGGCCAAGGGGTTCGGCTAGTGGTGCAATGGTGCAGAAAAGCCAACGGGGCATGGAACGATAATAAAGCAGTAGGGCCTGCGTGTATGCAACTAAACTGCAGTGAGTTTTCAGCACTGCTTGCTTGCAATGGGGGCTTGTTATGTAGGCCGCAGATTCAAGCCTCGGGGACGGCACTCATGCACAGGCAATTACAAAAAGGCAGAGACATGCAACTAGTGTTCTTGGGGGCGTTGGCTTCAATCCTTCCCAGCCCGCCGGTACCATTGCTGTTTGATCCAGGCAGCTCGATTTCAGGGCGGGCCCTGTTTCTTTGACAGGGAGGTGTGTGTGTGTGTGTGTGTGTGTGGGTTTGGGTGGGTGGGGGTGGGTGGGGGTGGGGGTGGGTGGGGGTGGGTGGGTGAGTGGGTGGGTGGGCGTATCTTGCCCGATGGCCAGGTGGTTACCTTCGAGGCTGTTCAGCCAGGCCTGGGTCCCTTCCCTGGAAGAGTGAATTGGTGGAGGGGATTTTAGTTCCCAGCAACAGCGGAGAACGAAAGAAGATATGGAAGATGGACTGTGAGAGATGGTCTGAGTACGGCGGCGATTTCGACTGGGTGCTTAGTGGTTAGTGATTCAGTGATTGGCAACCAAGGGGGGGTGCATGAATCGCCTTTCTGCGTTGACCCTCCTGAATGCCCCACCTTGGTGCAAACTCGTCCAACCTGAAGTTGCCAATCCGACATATCCGCGATGAATTGGGCATCCTTAGAAAGAACATGAAACGACATGCATGATTGGCTTATTTTCTTTCACGTGCCAAAATGTGTGAATAGTTGTGCGTTGATGAGCTTATGGAACGGCAGTCACGAAATGCCCGGCAGAAAGCTGGGATTTAGCAGTACAATATGCCTAGCCTGCGTCAGTTGCAGGCTGGAACGTGGAGCTGCTGTTGGACAGCATCATCGAAGCAGCACATCAGAATCGATGCAATGCCCTCATTGACACCGGCGCCCTCATTACCGGCCTCACGAACCAAGAGGCCTTTGAGTGCACTGTTTGTTTGCCGTTGGCTCCACGGCAGGTTTGATTGTCGCCGCTGTGCAAAGCCAATGGGAACGCAGGGATCAATTCAGTGCGAAGGCATTGGCCAGTCAACAGAACGGGGTTCAGTATGGTGCAGTGGTGGTCTTTGTTTCATTTCGGTTTTGCACTTGGTACATGGCCCTGTGCCCTGGTGGAGGCCCCTACTCGCTTGCAGTTTTTGCTTGCAGAAGAGGGCCCAGGAACCCGCGTATCACGCAACCAGCTTGAGTCATTGAGCAGGGTCACGAGAACTGCTTCCAGGAGCCAGGGAACAGGTCTGCACAGGGGTGGGCAGGCCTTCCTATGGTGCTTGTTGGCTTCAAGTGGTGCGGAAGTGAAGATTCGGAAGTAATGGGTATGATGTTGAGCCGGAGTGTGGTAGAGAAGCTATGGACTTACTGCTTAGCTGCTTGGGATTGCACATGGGCGTGTTTGGTTTGTGGAAATCCCTTCCCCTAACAATGATGGATATCCTGAGGGAGTGACTAGTCATGTATGTGGGGGGGAGCTTCCATTTTGAAGGCTGCTCCCGCACGGTTAGTTTGAAGCCATCAACGCTACTTGCAAACCATTGCAAACCACAGGGCTACGTAGGCAATCCGCCAACCAGATAGCTCTATAAACAACTGTTTCATTCGGCAGATCCTGTGCATTCTTCATAATTAGGCAGCCCATAGCATGAGAATGCATTTGCACGCGCCGCGTCAGCATTTGGCTCCAAATCCGGACCCGCTTGCACATAACATGTGTTGCTTGCGCAATTCATTGACTCATGGCATTCTTCTGCTGGCCCCTGTGCTAGGGTTTCGCACAGTGGTCCAAGGTGGGCTGCCAGCTCACGAGCCCTTGTGCAGCCCAGATGTGGTTGCTGAGACATGCTCAAAGATATCGCGTAGGCGCCCACTAGACCGAGTTCACTTTAGTGAGCTTGGCACTGTGTTGCACGTCACCTTTGATTCGATCGCCTCATACATGGACTTCGTTGAGATTCCATTCAGGGAAACCCTGGCGCCGTGGACAGTTCTATGCTCCGACTTGTGCGCATTTACTGTGAGGAGCCTTCCAAGCTCCCATGTGCCGCCAGCTACAGACTGGGCATGCTATGACCTTGGCGGCGATATCAAGTGCGACGTAGATGTGTCGGACGAAGCCTTTGAGACTTGGAGGAATAAATATGGTCTGCTGTTCGCTTTTCTTCAGCTGGCCTGAGCTGGAGTTGAGATTGCAAGCCTGAGCCAAGTTTTGTTCATTGCCCTTTTCAAGATACCTTTCGCTCGCACTTGTCTTCAGAGCCTGAGCCTGGATCTCAGGCGAACATGGCCTTCGAGACTGAAATCAACGCCACTCAGAAATACGGCGAGGCTGTCAATCCCACGCCGCCCGTGCTGCTGCCCGAAGGTGTGCTTTGGCAACCAGACCAGAACCACACGGACATGGAGGAGCCATCGGGGTTGCGAAGCCTAGGTCTTGCCTGACGTTGACGGCAACAACAAGAACAACAGTAAGACCACAACAACAGTAGCAGCAAGATGAGCAAGGCAGACAAGAAGAACAGAGCCACGACAACAACCACAACAGCAGTAGCAGCGGCAGCAGCGACAACAACCACAACAACAACAACAAAAACAACACCACCAACACCAACAACACCAACAACACCAACAACAACAACACAACAACAACCACCAACAAAACAACAACACACAACAACACCAACACACACCAACAACACCAACAACACCAACAACACCAACAACACCAACAACACCAACAACAACAACAACAACAACAACACAACAACAACAACAACAACAACAACAACAACAACAACAACAACAACAACAACAACAACAACAACAACACCAACAAACAACAACAACAACAACAACAACAACAACAACAACAACAACAACAACAACAACAACAACAACAACAACAACAACAACAACAACACCAACACCAACACCAACACCAACACCAACACCAACAAGAACAAGAACAAGAACAAGAACAAGAACAAGAACAAGAACAAGAACAACAACAACAACAACAACAACAACAACAACAACAACAACAACAACAACAACAACAACAACAACAACAACAACAACAACCCAACAACAACAACAACAACAACAACAACAACAACAACAACAACAACAACAACAACAACAACAACAACAACAACAACA